GCGAAAATCCCATTTCCGGGATGGCATTTCTTGGAATTTTGATAAATGTCGCGAGTGTCAGCGAGAATGAACGTGCATCCATATCGTGTGTATTCTTCAGTAATATTGACTAGAATGGTTTTTTTTTCATGTACCATTGATGAATGATAAACTAAAGCTGCTTCATCCGTTTGTAAATGTCTTCTGCTGCCAAGATATCCACTTACTGTAAGTATTGTCTCACCTAAGTAATCTGTAACCTAATTGAACGAATCTTGCTCCAAACTGTGGTACAGGTGGTACCTCGCAATTTGACCATAATCTGTTGCCAGACTTGGGTCTGATCATTAAGCGGTTGAATTGCAAGACACTTGATGAAATTCAGAAATATCAGCACAAAAATGTAAGAAAAAGTGGCCAAAGCAGGTTGAATTACTGGGCAGAGGTCAAATTGCAAGTTAATTTTACTAAAGTTTACTCGCATTACCTCACAAAGTAAACTACTCAAGCTGAACTATCTTTAAATATTTGGCAAAAGTTCATCCAATGCAACTGTAACTGTCATAGCCCAACCAATTTTATCTGAACTATTGTGAAAAACCTTGGTAATAAATCTGACCTTTGTACTGCACTTTTGGTCTGGGTTTCTTGAATGGAAGAACTCATGCAATTTTAAAAATTTTAAACCTGGATGATCATTCAGTAAATCTTGACTCAATTTCTTGCTAAAGTTGAAAAAATAGAGTTAAAAGAGGAGTTATGGGGAATTGAGGAACATCTAAAATTCTCCCAACACAGGTGAATTCTCTCTTTTTCTGTAAAAAAATATTGCCTACAATGAATTTCTCCATATAATGAACTTTTTGTGGGTACCATTGGGGTTTCTTTTCATGGTATGGGGGTTCTCTACAATGAAATTCAAGGGACCATAACAAATTTGTTGTGGGGAGTATTCTGTTGCAGAGTCCACCTGTGTTCTGCTGAATTCTCTCATCACAGATAGACTCTCTCTCTCTCTCTCTACAATGGTTTTCTTTGTATAATGAACTTTTTTTTGTGGTCCCATTGGGTTTTCTCCTCTCATTATGGTGGTTCTCTACAACAAAATTCAAGGGACCATAAAATGTGTTGTAGGGAGCATTTTTTTGCAGAAACCACCTGTCTTTTTATTTTGCAATTACATAAAAGTGCAATGGCCTTGGATGGATGCAGATGACCCAGATAAAGGGGGGTATTTTGCCAAGGTTATTGTTAATTCAAAGCCCGGGTCAAAGTCTCCTTTTTTTCTGGACGATGGATTGTTTTTATTTTTTGAACTTCCTGGTTGCAGAAGACCTTCTTCGCATTTGAGTACGGTTTTGCTTCACTCGTATTGATCCGCGTCGAAAAATTTGAATCCTTCGCCGTCCTGTCGGTCCACCAAAATGCCGTGTGCTGGAAGTTTGCCCCTGACGAGTGCTTCCGCGGGTGGAGTTGCGGACACGTCCATGTATTTGCCTCCAATGTAGGAAATTGCTCCTTTGAACTGTTCTTCGTCGGTGATTTCCGGTAATTTACTTCTCTGCTGCTGTTTCGGTCGTTTCGTTGGACGTTGGCGTGTGTCGTTTGAATTCTTCGTCATTTTGTCTTTGGGTCCGCCGATCACCAGAGACGATGCTCTTTGATCCGGACGTCTGTTCAATAATATTTCGGATTATTTTTTTCGAGTGACCACATGCTTAATGTGAAATGCTACACAGGTGAAAGGTTGCTTCAAAAAATGTCGATAGATACCCGAAAAAAGTTTTGGAATGAACAATTAGCCACAAGATTACAGGGATGCAATTTGGTATTGAAAAAAAATCAGGCGCTCATTTAATCAAATTGCACTTTTTGTGGTCATCTCAGAACCTTCATTGAATAAAGTGAGGAAGGTTTGTTTGTAGAATCAAGCAATGTTAATATTTCATCAAAAAGTGAAAAAGTTGCCATCATTCTTTGAAGAAATTGTCCAAGACATTTTATTTGAAGGGACCTGGAATTTTCATTTAGCTTCCTTTCACTTGTGAATATTGATTCAGAACTGCTTCATTTCAAAGTAAGTACAGTGAGACCCCAAGATGTGGACATAATTGGTGCATCAAGAGTGTCCCTAAATTGAATTGTCCCTAAGTTGAGTCTTGTTTTCCCATTGACTTACATTATATAATTTTTAATTGGTGTTTTATGGAAGAAATATTCTTCAGAATTCCCTGAAAAAATAGTTTTCCACTTGAATTTCAATTAGTGAATACATTTTCAACTCAATAAGAACATTTGGAGCATTGAATAGTGAATCTCTGTACTGCACATTGAAATGTTGGCATCTACAAAAATAACAATCAAGTGAAAAAAATGTAGAAGTCTCTCTATGATGGAGGTAATTTTTTTAAATTAGCTAAATGAATGGTAAATTGGTGAGAGAAATGCCCAAGAACTTTTCTTACATCAATTTTAGGGTTGGAAATATCTGTTCTTTGTAATTGGGTTTGAAACTTATTTGCAATTTTATCACAAAACGTACCTATGTTGAGTCAGTGTCCTCATGTTGGGCCTTTTTATTAAGTTTTTCTGGGAAAATAAGTGTCCCTATGTTGAAATGTCCGCAGGTCAAGGTGTCTGCACTGTACAGTGGTGCCTTGCCTAGCAAACACAATCTGTTCCAGCAGTGCATGTGTAAGGCAAAACGTTTGTTAGGCAAGTCAATTTTTCTCTTAAGACTCAATGTAATGTCCATTAATTGGTTCCTGTGAATGAAATCTACTGCAAGAATGATTGAAGTTGCCCAAATTTTAAGGAACCTAAAGAAAAAATTCTTTTAAAAAACCTACAGTTTCTTCTGAATATTTTTTCATTTAAATTTGCTTGATGCCCTCTATTCTAAAAAAAAACACATGTAAACTCTTCCAGGTGTGAGGAAGAAAGGGTGCTGTATTCCCCAGCACCACACAACCTATTTCTTAGGTTGTGTGCTGTGTGTTAGACAAAGGACCACTGTATAACATTTGATGAAGTTATTTTAATTTTGTAATGAGAACAATTGAAAACTACCAAAAATCAGTTTATTATCATATATCTTGAAAATATATGGGATGCAATCTTGATAAAAATATGTTCTTTGTGCTTCTGCTGGGTCCTTTTAAAAAAAAAATGTGTGCATGCAAAATCATTTCTTTGAATTGAATTTCATCTTCAAATAAATTTTACTTTTTCTGCTGTGAGTTTGTAAGTTTGATTGGCGCATATGTGAGGGTTTCCTCTTGGGTTTCAAGTTTCTAATTTTATACAACTGTGAACTGAAAAATCGTACCTTTTGGCGTAAGGGTTCTCTCTGCCTCGGGCTCTGAAGGCTATTGAATCCCTCGTGCGTTCAATCGGGTTTCGCCAGGGGTTATTGCGAGAATATGTTGTGCGATCTCGTGGCGACGAATTTTTTCGGTGATTCCTCAAGGAATATCTTGTGCGAGATTTGGAAAGTGATGACGTGTCCTTCCATGACCTGACCTGGGGCTCATCTTCCTCGGGTGTATCTTCATTTTGCTCTGTCGAAGAAGAAAACGGTAAAAATTGTGCTATGAATATAAAGAAGAGCTTCACTTTGATTCCAGTTCCGCAAGAATTCAATAAGTGACTTTGGAGACATCAAAATGTGTACGTGATGCCTTTCTTTAATTTCATCAGGATTAGACTTCTGAAGATTAGTGAATTAAGATCCTTTTCAATAAGACTGAGAAAAAACAAACAAGGATAGGGTTATATAGTGAGGTATATTGTTGATCCATGGGCAGCCATTTTATTATTCTCATCATAAAATGGTTGAAAAATGTCCTTATACTGAGTTATCTTGAAATTTTCACAAATTTTTTAAACGAATAATTGAAACCTATGAGAATAAAAGCAGATAACAACGGGAAACGCAGGAAAAATTAATATGCTTTTCGATGACAATTTAGTGTTCTTCCTTTCTGGACTTTCAGAGGTTCTTTTGTTTACAAAAAATTGACATCTTTAAATTCAGGTGGCTATAATGAGTGAGGATCTCCATTTTGTCCAGTTTTACGATTTTTGAAATAATTTTTTAAAGGGGAATTTTTTTTATCATACATTTTTGAGGACAAAAAGTTGGCATGAATTTCTTCAAAGTCAGAGAATAGTAATGAGAGATGATTTCCGTATTGTCTAATATTTTAATGAATATTGAAAGTATTTTGTAAAGGAGAATTTATTGATGAATTCTTGCGAACAAAAATTTGACGTGAATGTCTTCAAATTCAGAGGACAGTATTGAAAGACGATTTTCATCTTGTCGATCGCGATGAATTTTGGAATTCTTTTGTATATAAAGGGAACATTTTTCATTAATTCCTGCAAACACAAATTTTACATGAACGTTTTCAAATGCAGAGGGCATTAATGAGAGACGATTTCCGACTCGTCCATCGTAATGAACTTTGAAATTACAGTATTTTTCTAAAAGGAAAATTTTAAAACAATTCCGCGGAACATCAGTTTGACATGAATGTCTTCAATGCGAAAGGCTGTAATGACTCTAATGAGAGACAATTTACAGCATCTTGTACAAATTGTGATGAATTTTGGAATTATTTCGTAAAGGGGAATTTTTCATCAATTCTCGCAAAAAATTGAAATTAATGTCTTCAAATTCAGAGGCCAGTAGAGACGATTTCCATCTTGTCATTGTAATGAATTTGGAAATAATTTTGTACAGAAATTTTTTTTTCATCAAGTCTCGCCAACAAAAGTTTTTTTATGAATGAGAGACGATTTCCATCTTGTCCATGATAATGAAGTTGAAAATTTTTTTTTAAAGGTGTCTTTATTCTTGGGAACAAAATTTTGACATGAATGTCTTCAAATTCAGAGGGCTATAATGAGAGAAAATGTCCACCCAGTCCATTTTACTAAATTCAGAAAAGATCTTCAAAAGTATTCGTTTCCCGAAGGGGACATTTGTTCGATTCCCCCGAAATTGCCGCAGATTCAGCGGGAAATTGAACAACAAGAAAGCCTTGTATAAATTTTTTTTTTTCTTTCTGTTTCTATAGTTTCCATCCGAATTCTGTTCCGAATTGTCTGTGTATTTCTTTCGTATTGGAATTTTATTTTAAAAGGATATTGAAGTCTCACAAAGAATTTTCCACTGACCTGCTTGAAGCGTGTCGAAGATGAATCCGGATAACACCACAACTAGAAAAAGCTCTTTAGCCCGCAATCCCGCAAAAATCATTCTGTTCTTCAGTTTCCACCAGGGTTATGTCAATTTCACGCCTTTTTTTTTCTTATTCTCCGCGCCGAAGGAAATTTCGCGATAAGCTGGTTCCAAGTGCCAAGTTTCCTTAATTTTTTTTTCCTACCGTCTGCTTACTAGTAAATATGGAAGGTTAGCTATAATTGTGCTTGCGTTTCTCCTTCCCCAGGAGCAGCTGGCTTCGTGATCAGAACAGGAGCTGGGTATTTAATGTCCATGAATTTATTTATTTTTCCGAGGGAATGTGTTTTTTTCCTGTTGCCGGGAAAATTAGTGCAAATTCGAGGCATAATAACGGCGATACCTCGAGTATATTGCGTCGAAGTCGGTGCCACATTTCTACTAGAACTCGTGTCGATTTTATTTAGCGGTTTCAGTAAATACGAATTTTCCGCCGACAAGGTCTGTGTTGACTGCAAAAACGTCTGTTTGTGGTTGTAATTCAATTTTTTTGGGGCAGTATAGCATGTAATTTGCTCAATTTATTTGTTGCTGGCTGTGATAATTGACGCGTAAGTTTTCAATTTGTGGAGGCGAGGGAGTAATCTTAACATCTTGCCACACATTTCAAAACAAATAGCGTGGAGAACTATTTAATGTTCTGAAATAACAGTAAAATATGTTTTTCTATTGGCGATCCAGAATCCTAGCATCTTGTCAGGCATGTTTGAAAAAAGGAGAACAAAAACTGCTCTTTTTTTTATAAGATTATTTTTATCTCTTATTTTTAAAGCAAAGAGAACTTTTTAATATTCTGAAATATTAATTGAAAAGGTTTCTTCTATTTTTGATCGTACATCCTAGCGTATTGTCAGACCTGTTCGAAAAAACGAGGAACAAAAACTTCTCTTTTTCCATGAGATAATTTTTTCTCTTTCGTTTATCCAACATTCTTGCATCTTCTCAAGCATTTTCAAAAAATTAATAAAAAATATACTTCTTTCTCATCCAAAATAGCAATATTTTGTGATTTTCTATTGTCAACCCTGCATGCGAGCATCTTGGGGCAAATCAAATAGAAATGCTCTGTTTTCTCAATACGCATCAATAACTGGCACTTTCCTTTTTCTTGATCTTGCAATATCCTAGTACCTTGGCAGCCAGCATGTTAAAAAATGGTACTTCGGAAAAACCAAAACTGCTTCATTTTTCTGAACGAATAATATATCCTTTTTTTTATTGCTGATCCTGCATCCTATGGGCACCCTTGATCAGACATTTTAAAACAAACTGGGAAGAACAACAACTTCTGTTTTCCGAAAAAGTATATAGGGATATTTCGTGTTACAGTATTATATTATTTTCGTCCAGCACGCATCTTTCGCTGTTCTTTGATGATAAGACCCGCCACAGCACTTTGAAACCCTGCGTTGTAGTCCAGCCCTACGCCGTTTCTTATGGCATCGCTGCGCTTGTCTTCCCAATGGTCGTTTTGGTCGGGTCCACCGACCAGAGCTCCTCTCAGGACATTCGGGTTCGGATTTGGACTATGATAAGCTTCCCAGCTGCAGTCACATCCATTGCAGGCGTATTTTGGAAGACAGGAACTGGAGCAACAACAAGGAAAAAAAAATAAGGAGAAGAAGAAATGTTGAGAGAGGGGAAAAATACTGATGAAATCTTGCAACAAAAGCAAAAAATTTGCAAAAAAAATCTCCTCATCAGACATTCTCAGGGGATTAATTGTACTGCAATCAAATTTCCTCTCTGGGAACTTTTTTTTTTTTTTTTTTTTTAGCTCTGATGCTGAAATATTGTTTTGCAGTGAAAGCAATATGAATGAATGAACAGAAAGCTTTATTTTCCGTTTTTCAGCATTCACAAGGTTCAATCAACATTCTCGCATCCAAAACCCCCAATACATTCCAATATTTTGTGGAATGTATTTTCTTTTACTTTTGTTATCCATATATATGCAGCTATTTTCTCTGTCTCCCATTCTGAACTGATTGAATGCCTTTGGATGGATTGGTTGGGGGGGGGGGGGTTCAAAGCAATATACAGTACTATTCAAAAATTCTGCAAATGTTGAGGAAACACAAGAGAAAAACCACAAAATTTTTTTTGTGTGCATCTTGGAATTTACTGGATGCAGGTGAACTATGTACAACAATCTTGTCTACAAAGGTTTTCTTCTTACAACGAATTTTTCCACATCAAGTTACAATGCATTTTTGTGTCCCATAGGGTCCTAATAACATGTTATAGGGATTTTCTACTATGAAACTGTCTCTACGATGAACGTTCATCTATTCCTTTGAATTTCGTTGTAGAGAGATTCCATCTATGCAACAATATTTCATAGTATGATGTCTATGATTTTTCTGCCACAACTTTTGAAAAAGGTTTGATGTGATGAATAAATTGGTAATTATATTTTTATTATTCGCAGAATTCAAAAAATTTATCACTTGAAGTTAAATTCCATTTGAAGTCAGAAAAAGTGCTTCTTACCAAAATATTGCGCAATGTAAATTTACAACGGTTGCCATTAGAATTAAATATAAACATAGGAAAGCTAAATAAAAAAGAGGGTCCATTAAACTCTTCGATGTCCTTTAACACGAGGACCAAATATTTTGTATAATACACATTATTGTACATAATAATTTACGTTAAGCATTCAGCTTATTTTTTAATTCCATAGAAGTCTCAAGAGTTCCTCAAGAGAGACCAGAAAAGTTTGTTGCAGATTATTTGGACGAAAATGCTGTGAATGCACGTCACCTTTGTAAATTTCTGTTCATAATAACATATTGAAAGGCTTCAAAAACCTCGTACAACTTCGTCATTTTTTTGAAGTTGATAAAATGGGTCGTTCAGATGCGAGGAAGAAAATTTGATGATACTAAATTATTTTCTTGACACAAGCGAAGTTTTTTTTGTTTACGCACGAGAAATAATCTTCTTCTGCTGTTCACATTTTTTACAGACACGCGCTCTTTTGGACACACGCCGTTCTGAAACGCGCTCAATTTTCCAGCCCTTGTAATTTTAGGAATTATACGGACCTTGCCATGTGATGAGGATATGTTGGGTATTTGTTGCCGAAACCGATGATGTACGATGTTTTCAGGGGGTTTTCTCCGAGGATGTAATTTATTTGGGTTTTCGCAAGATCATGTGCAATACCGAGTCCCAGTCCCAAATCATCCGCCTGTTGGATGGAAGCGAAAATTAAAATTAAAAGTCCAATTTTGATTATGTAGGTCAAAATTTAAAAACAATGACTCTTCTTCAAGCTGCAGCATTTTCTGAAAGATTAAAGCCAATTTAATGATTTTTTGCGTGAAAGATTGAAGCTACAGTATAAGGATTTTCTGAAAAAGAAGCTGCGTTCAAAAAAATCGTGAAGTTTAAGTTAATTTAATCATGTTTAGAATTGTTTTCATTTTATTTTATAGGTTCAAATGCATCGGTCTGCTCATAATAAATTTCATCTCCGACTTCAGCGGAGTATAAAAATAATTATTTTTATTTGCTTTACTTCTGAAAAAAAAGGCAACTGTTCGAAAGCATCGCGAAAAATTTTAAGCCTTTCAAGTACTTTAGTATAAAATTTTACTTTATATGAAGTCTTTCAATAACCGTTGTCCAAATTTTACATTTGCTGAAGCGTGAGAACATGAAGCGAAGCTTTGATTTCAATCCGATATCTCCATCACTCAAATTTTGATTTGAAAGTCATGCGAAATTAAAATAAACATGATAAGAAACAGTATGCCAAAGTTGACAGATAAAACGTCAAAATTATGGATTGCGCGAGGTGCTGCTGGAAATGTGTTTTTCTTTTTTATTCGAAAAAAAAAACAAATCTGTGAATTCCTCTCGTTATCCTTCGGTAATTTTTTTTAGTCTCGGGGGGAAAAAAGTTTATATTCCCCTCTATTTGGAATAAATTATTCAGGCAAAGTTATGCAGCAGTAATTATTCTGGATAATCCACGTTCCGCCGTATTTTCTACACGTGTGAGATAATCAACTGGGAAAGTTTTGTATGTACTTTACTCAATTCTGTCTCGATTTTCAATGCTACATTTCATGGGAATTCCAGATGCTAAAATCGTGGGAATTCCAGATTTTTAAAATTCATTCCGCCTTTTGGCGAATCCATCCTTATTCCATGCAATTAATTTTTGTTCAATTAATTATTCAATAACAAAAATTAATTTAAGCAAGATTTTCAGCAACATTTTAAGAGATAAACACAGAAAGATTATTATACAAGTTGGAATGGGTTTCCGAACTATTAATTATTCATTAATATTTATTAATTTATTTTATTTCATTTTTTAGACCTTCTTTTTCGACGAGAGGAATTGAAAAAAAAAAAACTAACCACGAGAAGTTGGAAAGCTGCGGTTGCTGCGTGGCTGCAAGTGCCCCCAGTGCCCCAGAAAAGCAACCCTCCTGGTGTGGTTGTGGTGTTGGATTTGTACTGCAGGACGAAGTGGGTAATTTTGTTCCGGAAATTGGTGCCCGATGTCAACTCGTACATCAGTAGCTGTTGACGTCACAAATTCAAACAAGAAAAATTCATTTCGCGAAATAAGCTTGTAGAAAAAAATGTTGTTCACGCAGGGGAAAAAAAACCTTTGTTTTGTGTGTTTGAAGTGTCGAGGAAATGTTTATTCAATATATTCACTAATAAGTCCCATATAAGATTCGCTTGTCCATTTTTTTTAGCTGCAAAAACTTATCGAGGTAAAAACTTATCCCTGCATTAAATCATCACTCCATATTTTTTACATTTTTGCAATTTGAGAATTACAACACATATAGAAACTATCAATTTATGCTTTTAAATATTTTATCCCATCAAAGATACAGCAACGTTTCAATGGTAACAAAATATAGTAAGATTAATTTTTCTTAATCTGCGCATTTCTTTTATTTATTTTTTTTGAAGAACATTCTTGGGACTTTCATCAGCTGCCGATATTGATTGAGAAATTTTTGCTCCAAAGGTAGGAAGAAAATTTGGGTGCAAAACTCATAAATTCTTGAGAAGTTGGAGAAATTTACGTGTGAAGCACTGACAAATGAATGTGCTGTGAAGAATCTTGAAAATGCACTAAATGAAACTTTCATGGCAGCAAGTCTGAAGTTTTCTACTACTATGACATTTGAAAAAAATGCTTTCATGAGAAATTCATCATAGTAAATTCAAAAAAGTTTAGTGAGACCCACACATGTGGACACCGCAACTTCAGGACAATTTGACATAGGGAAATTAATTTTTAAATAAAAAAATCATAAAAAGGGCCAACAATTGGACACTGACTTGACATGAGGACATTGCGTGATAAAATTGCCAATAAATTTTAGGAAAATTGACTTTTATTAGGCTGAATTGCAAGAAACAGATATTTCCAACCATAAGATCTATGCAAGAAAAATTCATTGGTACTTTTCCCAACACTTTCCCACCCATTCAGCTAATTAAAAAATTACCTATAGCACAGAGGGACTTCCTTCTCTCTTTGTGACTTGGATGTTATTTTTACAGATGCCAACATTTCAATGAACTGTACAGTGTTATACTATTCAATGCTCCAAGCGTTCTCATAGGGTTGACAATATATTCACTGAATCAAATTCAAGTGGCAAGCAGAAGTTTTTTCATGAAATTCTGAAGAATATTTCTTCCATAAAACACCAATTAAAAATTATATAATATAAGTCTATGGGGAAACAAGACTTCACTTAGGGACAATTCAACGTATGGCCACTCTTGATGCACCAATTATGTCCGTATCTGGGGGTCTCACTGTAATGTATAATATATTGCACCAGCGGTAAATGATTTATGCTGAATGCGCTTTGATGAAAGTTGATTGTGGTCAGTAAAATGTGCATTCCAGAGCCACAATTGCCCACAATTTTCCTTTTACAGTATTCAACAGAAAAGTGAATGCAAGGTAAATTCCTTTGAAAATTCTCACAACAATCCCTCCTCTCTTGTCCTCCCAGTTGAGCAGTGTGTCTTGCCAACTGAAGTGAAACTCATCCCACTTGAATAAAACTTCATTTAGGTACTTGACATCCTCAGTTGCTTTGTGCAACCACAATGCACTCCATACCAGCTCATCAGCATAACTCCAAGACCTAAAAAAAAAGCAATTGCCACAAAATAATTAGGATATTTTCAATTTCCAATATTTAAAATAAATTCACGGGTAAAATTGCGCGGCGTCGGGGTTTGAGTCTGTGTAGAATCCTCGGAATTGATCAGCAAAAACGTGAAGTTGTTCAGCATGTTGCAACAATAGTGCAGAATACTTAGCATCGATTGGCCGAAAAAGAATTGAGGCAGCTGCAAGAGCTGCTGCAGTTTCTCCAACCACGTCTGAACCTGTCGAAA